CTAACTGACAGTCGTCCACCGCCTCCTGTGCCAACGCCCGAGATGGCGCAACGCAGAATATGACGTCATCTCGATCTTGAGTCGTACCCATGCTGTGGAGCAGCGACGGGACTGCACCTCAAGTGTTGCCATTGATCTGTTCATTAGGGATACCTGCATAAACTCGTTCTCCCAGCAGCTCACATATACCTCTCCCCCCACACACACTCGACTCTGGCCTCTCCTTACTTTGTCTTCAAGGCTGCAGCCTTCAGCTTTGAAGAGTTGCCCCCGCAAGATTCCTCAGCAACTGAAGCATGGCCGCTGTAAACATCCTTCATTTGGGTCTCGGCAACTGTCATGACGGACTGAGAGCGGCAGAGGAATAGTTTTTAATAGCATACGCGCTGAAGGGACGCTGAAGACGACTAAAGGGACGGGACTAAAATGCGTCCATATTGCTAAAGAAGACGTGGAAAGCAAATGAGTGGAACTGGTAGAACGAGTAATACCTCGAGAGTATTAGCTCGCATTGTCGGGCCTTTTGGATTAAGGGCAAGTACTGTATGTTCAAGAAATGTGCCCCCCCCCCCTTCATGCAAAATTAAAAGGAGGAAAATCTAGAGACCTGGATTTAGAAACTTCACCTGGGCGTGGAAGCTGGCAGATTCTAACTGTTTATTGGAGTACTAGGGATGTGGTAGGGAAATTGGGCGGTTATTATGAGTCGAGCACACGGGTGATTGTACGGAAAATGGTAGCATGATGGGAGAACGAGAGCTTCCAAGGAGGGTGCCGAGGCCTGTAAGGAAGCTGAATAGTGTGTGTGGGAGTAAGGCAGTCGGAAGATCAAAGTATCAAGAAGAGTGACACATAATTGGATGCCGAGAAGCATACTCAGATGAAGGGGAATACTTTAGGGAAATGCAAGCTCGTTCTACTTTGAGAAATTCGAGGATTTCAACTACAGTACTCTTTACTTCAGAGCTCTCACTATTTCCTCTTATTTCAGACCAGCCTCAAACAGCAGTCGTCCAGTGGAGGAGGATCAGACAACGCCCTGAAAATCCCACAACTTCCAACTCTTCTACATGAACGACGCACTGATTCGGCTCCAGCAATGCGCGGATTTTCAAGTAGTAAATATATTTCAGAGAGCGATAATTTCTCATAGAACTTTTCCTATTCTCATAGAAATTCGTTTGAAATAAAGTCTAACATTCCTTGCGATGCCTACTCCTGATTCGTTTGAAATAAAGTCTAACATTCCTTGCGATGCCTACTCCTGAAACCAAGAAGATTTTTGAAGAACGCTATGCTGTTAATATCAGTTATCTCTCAAGAGTGTTGAGTTGTGAGCAAAAGAGGTGATTCTGGTAGGACTCGGGCCCGCTCATGACTTTTATGGGGTATGCCTTGAAGCACTTATGCGCGCTAGCGTCACGCTAAACACGACGAAACGACTGGCGGATATTGCAGCGAACTGCGAAATTGAAGGTTTTGCGGGTTGCTGAAGCTGTTCTATAATGACGACTGCCGTTTCCATTCGCAGTTCGCGTTCTAAAGTTATTACAAAAATGCTGGGCTATGGACAGGAAAATTGACTTCAAGAAGGGCTCGAATCTGCAGCTCACGCAAAAGGAGATCGTGCTAAGTGTAGCACCATCCAGAGAGCCGTCCACTACAATTACCTGATATTGGCTCTTGCTGATCAATGAATTTCTCGAGCGGAGCCAATAACGGATCCGTTCATCCTACCCCGCTAGGGCTGTCCAGTGGATTTTCCCTGAACTGACTCGACTGAAGGGACAGTTCACTGACCACCATACCGTTCGTTCAGAGCATTCGCGAAGAAGTCTGGTCATCGAGTGGGCGGTCGCCCATGTGTTCATTCGACTTCCCATGGAACCCGAACGGTAATCGTTCCGGTCCAACTTCAGCAAAGTCGCTGCTTTCCTCAACCTCTGCATGGACACCCTCAAATATATATTGAAATGCGAGAGGTCAGAAGATGTAGAGTAGCTTTTGGAGAGGAGAGATCTTTCTCTTTTCAGAGCTAAACTTCTCCCTGTAAATACCACATAGAAAAAAACTCGTTCATTTACTAATTTATTTATAGACGCAGAGTGTCTGCCAGTGAACACATAAAAACCTAAAGGAACTTATCAATCAAAGCTCATAGAACCAAGGGATGAACATTACGAAAGTCATACAGAGATGTTATCGAACTGCTATATGGCAAGAACTTAGTGTAGGGAACCTTCGAATTGAATGACTTAGTGGCTCTGACAACAAATACAACTAGTGACAAAGACGAGGGTTCTTAACAAAAAAAACTTTTTTCCATAGGAAATAGTACATTTTATAAATACCAGTCGGATCGCCCAGCTTCCGCGGGGTCATCCTTCAAAGTCACGATCCGGCTTTGCCGAGCTGGCCTCGCTTCGCCAGGCGCTCGTTCTTTTTGGCTACCTAGAATTCGCAAAATGCGCCAAATGGTCACAAAGCTTTTTTGGCCACCTCCATCCCTTTCGCTCAATCGCTCGACATCCTTATATGCATCTCAGAGCACATGGTTCGGTGGATGGTTGAGCCTGGACACTTGAGAGGATAGTGAGAAATACGTAAGAACTACGAAATGCAGTGAAGATGATTCCATTAGGTTGTTCGAAAAGTAATGCGACACTTTGATTGAATTGTTCTAGAAAAAGACCAAAAATCATTTTGGATGTTTTTATCCCTGATTAGTGGAGACTGTCCTCTGGGGTTTCTGCACATGGGTATATCATGACTTTGTGGAAGTTTTCAAAGCTTAAAAGTCCCTCAGAGATCGAGGTACTTTCTCGACCTATCCCATATTATGAGTTCCTGTAGGGCCACTCCGCCGTAGTCGAGGAAGCTAACACTTACGTTGTCTTGAGGAAGGATATCGCTTGCCATGGCAGAGGGTAGCTTTTGCATCAGCGCTTCCAGGCTGGACTTATTTAACTCGTAGTTAGGCAATGTATAGGTCGCCCACCAGCACAGAATGACGGCCCTTTACTCAAGCTTCTTGAGGCGCAGCCGAAGGTAACCACCAGTAAGTTGGCAACCTCTCTAGGCTCCACCTGACTGACAACTGCCATGCTTCTCCGCAATCTCGGTTATCGGAAAAATTTTTGTGAAGGATGCCTCATGAGTTGGACCCGTCTGACAAGTCATACCGAATGACCGTGACTGAGTTTTCTTTTCCTTGTACACAGCGAAAGAATTGTGAGATCTCGTGGTTGGTAACTAGTGTTGGAGTCCTTGCGTACATCATGCTCCCTCGCAGTCTCTCAAACAGAAAAGTAGATTGCTTAGCCAAAAACAGATGTGCATGGGATAAAGATTTCAGTGTGTTATTGGTGGGACTTCAAAGCGGTATCACTGGATACCTAGCACCGTTGTAAGGACCACAGTCCATCGACTTCAAAATATGGATGACGTCACGCTTGAATTCATTCAGAAATACTCAATTTTTCTCTACTACTCGGCAATGCGAAGACCGCATGGGGATCAGGCTACGCCAAAAGATCATGGATTTCGATCAGAGAATGCGACCGTACCCAGGTTATTTAACAAAGTTAGCAGCCTCTAATTACCACCTCCTTTGGTCCCTATCGCATCCTTTAAAAAGCAAAAATTCCGAAAATCGACCTCAACTCGAGAATGAGGTCCACCTCTTCTTTATCATAGTTGCCGTAGTTCTATGAGAATGGAAATGAGAAGCTGTGCAAAAGAAGGGCACTAGTCCTAGTCATCAACTGCGGTTACCTTGTAGATTGGAGATGTCTTTTAGTGACGGAAAATTTAGTCCGAAAAATTGGTCAAAGTGTCACATTACTTTTCGAACAAGCTAATACCTTTTCTTATCATTTTATATCATCATTTGTCACGCTCCATCAAAGTCCCACCACTAAATTTTCATAATTGGGTAATGTACAAGCTACACCACCTTGGACAACGACGACGACCGCGGTGCCCCCTACCAGCCCATCTCAGCAGTTATCGCTTTTTGTTAACCACAGTTGACGTCCCCATCTCACCCTTCATGTCACTTGCTGGAACCAACGCCTCGCTTCTATCTCTTATCCGATCTCATCAGGTGTGTGATGTTCTCTTACACAACAGTGTTCCCGTTTTGGAACGGATTCTCTTCAGTTGCCGCGGCCTCCGCTGTGAATCTAAAGGCTCTTCTTCTATAGCCTCTTATCGTATATTATCAGCTCTTATGGTGGACTCAAATTTCCGGACAGACAAACAGCCAGACCTAGCAAATTATACATATTTACAGGGGAGGCCAAAAAAAGTCACTTCGACCGAGTCACATATCAGCAAAGTTTTTGCCCAGACAGAGGACGTGGATACGAGTACCAGGGCGGAAGATACCCAAGATGTTCCTCTATAAGCAGGAGCTGGCTCTCGCCCATCACCTTCATGTACACCAAAATATGAAGTCATCTCCAGTCGCAGCCTGACTGGAGAAGACCTTTGGAATTCATGTCACCTCCAAACAGCTGCGAAACTTCTAGTATGGAGTCACCCATGGATAGCTACCTGGAGACCAGTACTCTCGATCTGGATGACCTCCAACATCCGACAACGTCGCCACGGTCTAGGACATCATCTTCACCGCAGTCGCCAAGGCGCGGGTTGATGGTATGGACCGGACGTACCTGGAATGGAAAGACCAATATTTTCTTCGTGGACCCCGGACTGAAGGTGAGCGCTGGCGGTTACATCGAGCAACTCGAGAAGAATATCCTCCCACATGTCGTCGCCCGTACCTTCTTGGAAACTTTGTACTGCTACAGCATTGGGTGCCACCACATGAAATCGAAGGGCGTTGGAGAAACACTCGCCTACTTGGAATGGAAGGGGGCTGAGGATGATAAGCTACGACGAAGCTGGGATATTCAAATTTCTATCCACTACTACCCATAGTATCCATTAGCGTTTAGTATCATCAGTACTAACATTCCGGAGAGCGAACTCGGTGGCTAGGACTCAATTCTTTGAGCGAACCATCGCCTCCTGACTTCTTGGACACGAGCTGTCGCACGAGCTCGCTCTTCGTCGACATTTTGTGAGTACTCCTTCAATCGATTGTCGATTTCTTTGCGAGTTGCCAGCAGGTCCTCGTAATAGTGCCACGTTGTATTCCTGAAAAGATCTTTGAGCATTTTATGTTTTTCCAACATACCAAGAAGAAATGAAATTGACTCGGTAAGTAAGCTATGGATTATTGAATCAGATGTTTTACCTCCTTGTGCAAAGCCGCAGCACAATAGGCCCAGCAAGAGGATTGTACCATTCGCTGGTTGACGATGCAATTAAACTGCAAGATTATTTCCTCAAACTCATTGGAAACAAATGGTATGAGTGTAATCTTGTTCTGAAGAGAACATACGAAATGCCGTAAGGTACTGGTCTCCAGATGAAGGTTTTCAGTTGTGTCGTTTTCCAGTTATGTATCATGAAATCACGTTCATCATTCCATTTGCTATTTGTGATCCAGTTGTCGCGGGCCCATGCAGTTCCCTAGAAAGGGCACTCCTTCTCTTATAGCAGCTTATTTTGTTGCCATGTGGTAGAGTGTTATTGGCACTTGGTGCGAGTACCTAGTACTTGAGCCTTTTGTTACTGTTCGAATGATGAGAAATCCGATGGATGAGGCGAACAGTTTATTAGAGCGAACGAACTAAACAAGTGCACAATTTTTGGTACCTGATATAACTTCTTTCATGTGTGTGAAAGTGCTGGAATCTCTTACTAAGAGTCTCCTTCTCGGAATACTAATAATCCCTCTTCAACACAAAGCAAACAAACCATAACTACCAATTTTATAAGGTAGCCGACAGAAACACTGCGCAACGATTTCTGCACATATCCATTGATTCTGAATCTCTTACCTTGGGTAGAATCTTTATCCTGCCGAAATCGACAGCACTTCCCAATAAATCTCTGATGCAAGCTTCGTATAAGAAGAGGTCTTGAAATCCTTTCGAATTTTTGTAGATCGAAAGGCAAATCATGAAATCGACGTCGGGGGTAGGTAAGATATTCTCAGCAAGATACGCCTAAAGCATATGGTTTCTAATAAGAAAATGAACAAGAGTATTCCAGTAGAATGTGCCCGCAACGGCCTTTCTTGCAAGATGCAAACAATTTTTTCGCAAGAGCAGTAACGTGTCCTGTGATATTTCGCAATCTTTGTGATTATTCCATATTGGGTTGCGTGCGATTAAATTGCGTATTTTGTAATAGCAATTTATGTCAGTTTTTGACTTACTATTTTTATGTATTATTGGTTTAACGCTTAAACATACATCATTTTGAATATTATCTAACTGGCTTTCGTTTTTTGATTTTCGTGTTTCAAATTTCATTTTTCGGGAATTCTATACCGAATCTAGGATGCTCTCTGAAGAGCAGATTATGCTCTCTAAAGAGCAGATTCGTATCATTTTGCTTCATGAGTTCAAACTTGGACGGAAAGATTTGGATGCTCGTGAAGATACTGTGAAAGGGTGCAGACCAGATGCTTTTTTACTTCGCAGTACTCAACGTTCCGAAAATTGCGATCCCGAGACCCACACCTTCGAGATGACCAGGTTGAGTCGGATCCCTGAGCTTCATGACGACTGCCTGGAGTCACTTGTGGGGTCCATATTTCGACAGTCGTGAAGCATTTGGAAAATTATGAACGGTGAAAAAATGAATTGGCACCCATGGATTGAACGTTCAACAGATGTTCAAGCTATCAGGTCTCATCGCCGCCTAACAAGCGTAACAAGAACGGACCTTTCCTCGATAAATCGTGGCTTGCATTATTAGACATACGGTCTGAATCCAGAAGAGTGAAATTCGAAACGAACGGAAATTAAAAGTGAAAGTCCGTTAGATAAGCTTTAGTATGATCACGACACTATAAAGATTAAATATATAATACGCAAAAAGAGTAAGTTAAATGATGTGCAAAAAAAGGGCAGTTTATTTGCACACAATACGATACATAAAGATAAAAAGTCACAGCTAAAGTGATCGCTAGTCTTCATAGTAACAATGCTATAGCTTCCTAACGCAGACGACGGAAAATGCGCAACCGTGAGCAATACCCTATTTCTTATTGTATTATAGAAGCCTGTCCATTAGTACCGTAGTCGTAGAGCACTAGTACAGCCGCTCCGCTACTGTTAATAATTAATTACTAATTATGCAAACGTGTTGATACAACTTTACTATACTAATAATACTGCTAATCGTATAATAGGCGATTTCACACTACAGTTCATAGATGAGCTTCGCGAGCTGTGTGCGCCACGTAGCACTGAGCCAAGCACTGCTCTGCGAGAATAACGGAACGATTGAAGGAGGCATCAGTCGACGTCCAGGCTTCATGTAACCTTCATGATATGGGAACTGAGTTGAAATATTTTGTGTTCGACTTGGCTTGAAGCATAAACGAACACTTGTACGGTATTTATTCACATAAAAAGCATACCGCCCTATATGAACACTTTCGAATATGTAACAAGGGGATAAAAGTACCATATTAGACTTGACAAGCTCCAATGACAGAACCAGCCTACTAGACAAGGAGCTGTTTTGGATGAAACTCTTGATGACCCCCCCCATCCGTTCGGACTCAACGATAATATTAAAGGAGTATGAAAGTTACTAATGCAAACTTGTCGTTAATGCATATGAAAAACCCTCCGTTCTTCTCCTTGCATATTAAGAAAATCAGAAATAATAGAGGAAACAATAAACGTCATAAAGAAAATCGTAAGAAGTATCTACTCACATATATTAGATGAAATAATTACGAATGAGAATTCCCTGGAACCTATGGATTTTTATAGGCTTCTTAAAAGTTTGAGTAAAAAAGAGATCAATAAAATTATCCGATTATCTGTGAATAGCAATTTTTAAATATGGTGAAAAATAAAACAAAATTCTTAATATTGTGTCTTCTGGCTCATTTTCATTACAACACAGAAGCTGTAAACAAGAAAAACCAGAGATACCACGATGTAAATCAAATTCGAAAGTGGAGTTTTTAATGAACTACCCCTCACTAGAATCCTCAACTCAGCAAGGATTAAGCATATACTACTTCATAACAATAATTTGAATTTCACTCCTATAAGGATTATCTATAAATATGATAATGCTATATCCAAAACGTTATTCAACTATAATAGATTTTTGAAAAATCTAGACAAAGAAGAGATAGTGAATATTTGTAAAAACGATTGCATCTGTGAGACAGAGGCATTAAAAGACTATGGTCATGTTATAAGTGGAAACTTGATTATTATCAGAGAAAGTAAATTGTGAGACATACTAGCCAGAGGAACAAAATATAGAATAGATACAGGAATAACCAGATCAGAGATAAGGAGCGTTTACAACGAACTCGTTGAACACACCATAAGTTATTTCAAAAATAAATACAATGCGAATAATCAAAAAATTAAACTGGTTCTGCAACATTTACAGACCAGTTATCATAAAACGATTAAACCTCTTCTTACATATAGCAGCAATTGTGGAGTTAAGGAATCAATACCTACAACCTCATTAAGAAATATCAAGAACGCTACATATTTTGTCCACTAGATAAAGCAAATAATAAATAATTTCGGGGTGGTGTGTAAAAAATACTACTTATTAATAGTTATGAAGGAAATGGGAGTTAGTTATGATGGCATAAGTGATAATTTTTCAAATGAAAATACAAATAATACTTACATACATGCTCCCCAAGCCGATAAAGATTTACTTACTGAGAAATATGTGTCATTCTGCAAAATTAACTCATGTGATGACACACAATTACCTATTATTTATGTATTCCCAAGCTGCACAAAGATCCCATTAAGTTTAGGTTCATAACTGGTGCACACAACAGTAGTACCAAGCCTTTAGCCGAAGAATTGCATAGTCTATTCAGCAGCATTAAAAAACACTTTGTAAATTACTGTAAGGTAGTCAAAGAAAGAAGTAGGACTATAAAAACATATTGGTCTATCAATAACATTAATATCAGTTACGAACTTAATAACATAACTAATAAGAATTTGAAGATATTTACTGCAGATTTCTCAGACATGTTCACTAATTTAAATCATAATCTGATTATTCGAAACATAACAGAGTTACTAAAATTGTGCTTCAAAAATGCAAATAAAAAATGTATTGGATTTAAAGTATTCTATACAGATAATAACGAAATCAGAGGCAAATACAGGTACTACCAAATAAAATGATTTATTGTTTATTACAGAATACTTATTGGATAACAGTTATTGCCTCTTTGGTAAACAGGTATATAAACAAATTAAAGGTGTACCACAAGGTGGGAATGCTAGCCCACTATAAGCGGATCTTACTCTTCTCCCTCATGGAATATAACTATGCAAAGAATATTAGCCACGATGCTAAAATATTGTTTGAACCTTACAGGTATATGGACGAACTGTTGATCATACATAATATAGAAGAACAGGAAAAGGAAGTCAGGTTGACACAATATACCACAATGTCTTAGAACTTGATAAAACTCATTATAATGAAAAGTATAGCAATCATCTTGATTTAACTGCTAGTATTTCAATTGATAAAATTATTACCGGACTTTATACTGAGACGGATGATTTTATTTTTGTAGGCAATAGGTTCCCTCATAGTAACACCAACATATCTAACAAGAATAACCTCGGTTATATACAGGGGGGGGCAAAAAAAAGTCATTTTGCCTCCATGACTTTCAAGGCGCTATAAGTTACACTTTATTAAATTTTTATCGGACATTTTTACTATTAAAGAGCACATTAAATACTATAATGATACTCCGCCACAGCCTTCTGGAGGAGCGCCATCGAGAGATTCGGCCGCGCGAAAGTGAGTGGGTACCGGAGTTGAGCGAGATCGTTGATTTCTCCGCCACTGTAGACCACCCTGTTGACTCCGCCCGAACCGGGTAATTGAGGGGATTCAGGTCAGGTGACCTACTTGGATATTCCATCTTCTTTAGGTACTCAGCCCCCTTCCATTCCAAGTAGGCGAGAGTTTCTCCAACGCCCTTCGATTCCACGTGGTGGCACCCAATGCTGTAGCAGTACAAAGGAAGGTAGGGGCGGCGACATGTGGGGAGGATATTCTTCTCGAGTTGCTCGATGTAACCGCCAGCGCTCACCTTCAGTCCGGGGTCCACGAAGAAAATATTGGTCTTTCCATTCCAGGTACGTCCGGTCCATACCATCAACCCGCGCCTTGACGACTGCGGTGAAGATGATGTCCTGGACCGTAGCGACGTTGCCGGAGCTGCTCGATGTTTGAGGTCTTGCAGATCAAGAGTACTGGTCTCCAGGTAGCTATCCATGGGTGATTCCATTCAAGAAGTTCCGCAGCTGTTTGGAGGCCACGTGAATTCCAAAGGCGTTCTCCACTCAGGCCGCGACTGGAGATGACTTCATATTTTGGTGTACATGAAGGTGAATGGCGGCAGCCGGCTCCTGCTTATAGAGGAAGATCTTGGGTATCTTCCGCCCTGGTACTCATATCCACTTCCTCTGTCTGGGCTGCGAAAACTTCGCTCATATGTGACTCGGCCGGAATGACTTTTTTTGCCCCCCCCCCTGTACACAGAGACCCCAGGATAGCACTTGTACTTTATTTGATACGTTTAAAATCAAAGAGATGATATCGACACTCTTAAGAAACAAGTATGCAAAAGAATTCATTATTGTCAACATCATCAAATGTATTTATAGGAATAAGTTCATCATATATAAATATGGGATGGAAATGAATATATATAATATAATATTGCTTGTCAGAAACATACTACCAAATGATTAGATACCCATTTGATTAAGCTACAACCACACAAGCGATTGCACACTGCAATTTTGGTCTTATATCTACACATACTTATTTTTCACATAAATGTGACCCATTCATAATTTCGCTGCGTAATATTGCAACTGAGTATCACGTCATTCATTACGAAACTGTTGATGTGGGCCTAATTAGTCACCCACAGTATCTGCGCCACTCTCTATTCTGTCTCAGGAAGATACTCGGAACAATTGTCATTCAACTTTTCGATGCTTTTTGAATATACAACATTGTACTTCTCGTAGTGATGTTCTACTCTCTTACTACACCACTATTCTACCCACTGTTTGTTTTCGTCCTTCCCTACATCACTGATGAGCCTCAGGGAAGGACGAAAGACACTGGTTCGTATGATGTTTAGAGGCGAAACGAACCATTTTTCTGTCTTATCTCAATTAGTTGCATGGTATGCATTTCCTCTTCGTTTGTTCCTATTGATCTCGCATCTCGCTGCTATAAAGGGGGAAATCCAGATGTTTTGTGGACTAGCCGTTGATTGACCAGTTCTGTCGATATCATTCCTCTAGTTCTGAGGAAAGCCTGCGCTGCTTGTCCAGAATATGACCATGGGTGATAAATGCAAAAAACAATATGTCCGAGCCAGAGCTGCTTGTTAGCCTTGTGATGCATTTTATCATTATCCAAAGAAAATTTTTATTGCAACAACCTAATCTTTTCTTGGAAAGAAGCCTACCAACATGAATCGCTCCATTGTCGGTTCCATGAAAACTGTTCGGTAATCGGAACTCATAGTTGGCGAGACCTGCAAAATTCTGTATTTCCTGTGAGGAAACTTCCAAAGACATCACAGAAAGCCGGTGTTGCTTTTGATAATGTGATATCTGATGTTATCTGTCCAATAGGTGCCTCGCAATGCGAGAAAACACGTACATAATCTGTTGGGTTTCCCAATGGATGTGAGGATTAAATGTAATTATTTCAGAAAAACTTCTCAAGTATTACCTCTAAGAAAATTCCGTGTCCAGTTTGTGTTCTTAGCTAAATAGGAGCCAGCCATCACTTCCCAGTTATAGAAGCGATCGTAGAATATAATATCTGCTTGCTGATCAATGAATTCTTCGATCCTCCTGATATGATAATAATCGAGTTCACATGACCAGCTTCGTGTTATACGTCTACATTATGGAGCAATGCGAGACTATACTGCACTGGCTTAGGAAGTCGTGAGCTCTCTCCGCTTTGAGTAATTAAGGTAGTACACTCTAATCTTCATGTAGGTCCTAAGCCCTGCACCACGCCTCCTCCACGGCATTTTCTCCTCGTACTGTCTCAACATCGAGACTCTCACCAATGTGGGAGGCGAAATGTTTGGCCCAACCCTGCCCATACTACGGGGGATCACGACACTTCTGAATGTTGCAATCATAGCTTTGCGAAGTTCAACTGGA